AGAGTTATTTATTAATTGTTCCACAATAGTCCTAAAGTTCATACCAAACCAAAGAACCAAAGGAAGTCTGAACTGAACGAATGACAAAATAAGAACTGAGTTTTTCAATCACAGATCTCCTTTACCCTCCTGATCATTTAAACTCTCCAGGACCCCTGCCAATATTGGACTAAGTTTTATATTCCCTATTTTCCTTCAAAACCTATTCCTTTTCTTCTCCATTCTAAGATATCCCCACCTCTCTCCCTCAACACACAACCTCTGCCCACCATTCCAAAACAGGGAGCAAATTTTCTCCTTTGGAGTATAAGGTCCAAATCATTACATTTTTCTCTGGCTATTTATCTACATTTCCCAAGAGATACCTATTTCAACACAAAACATGCTTTATTTACAAGGCTTATCTTGCACAGTGTATTTCAACCCAGCTAGTTACTCAGGCTACCTGAGATATAGGCTTCATGTTATTAAGAACTCACAATTATTCCTTCTTGACAAAAAGGCTGTGGCCTTTCATTTTGGCCCATACACTTAATGGGGGAGGCTAATTCCGTGCAACTGAAGAACCACAGTAGTTGACTGTAGTTATTATGCGCTGTTAACACATTTCTTTGTTGATGGAAAAGAGCGAACTATTGTCAAGTCTAGCATCTCGATGGTACTTATCAGATGAGAAACTGCCAAGAATTATAAATTCTATTCATTATTTGACCAGCTTATCATAAAACCCTAGGCTTTATGTAACCTGAACGTATTCCATAAACGCTAATTAAATAGCAGATAAAGAAATTTCAATATTAAAAATTAATACTTCATGCTTTTTAAGTTTAGGTATTGACTTTCTAAGTTATCTGTACAATAAAAGTTCAATGTTTAGGCAGCCTTCCAAAGCAAGTATTCTCAGCCTGGGGTCCACAGGTTAGGAATTTTGTTATCAGGTTGTGGGGGGGCTGGTTCTTGCAAGCATATACATGGGCTTCTAAATTTTCATGTGCAAATATATTTCTGCTAATGTATGGGGATGGGGAGACATCCATTCCATCATCAGCTGCCCAAAGAGTCCATGACCCTAAAAAGGCGATGCAGCTCTTCCCTAGAGTGGGCCCAGAGGTTCGCGAAGAAATTTAAATAGAATCTACTTAAGTCACACTCATATACTGTCATGACTTTTTTTAAAAAGCAAAACAGGTACAAACAAAGCAGAAATAATTTTAAAAGTGCATGCCCTCTTTACGGTAATAGTCTCTTTTAAAACTAACAGTAATCTCACAGAGGATTTTCTTTTGTTAGGTTTTTTTGATCAAGGGTTAAGACAACGGAATTACCAGATGCTGTCTTCATGCTAATGTTCATTTTAATTAATAAATTATTAAGGACATAAAAAATGTAACAAGTGGAACACAAGATTGTTGCTCAAAATCTATCAGAAACTCTTTATCATCTCAGAGAAGGTACAAGCAGATTGGCAAACCGCCCCAGACCTTGCCTCCTAAATACCAGGAGGGACGCTTAACATTTGTGGACCATTACTGCGTAATCTTGTACAACATGATGCACGGATGGTGCCAGAGCACGACTTACATCGCACTTCAAAAACGAAATCCTGTCATTATGTGTCAAAGAACACACAAAGACCATAAAACTCTGAAAACGATAGTCTTCAGATGCAGTTCACTCTAAAAATATAACTTTGAAGTTCGGAAGCCAATTCTTTCCTGAGGGACATTTTCCAAGAACTTATGAATTTGGAAGCTAAGAACTGTGTCCTCACGAGGCCATATTGCTCACACTGTCACCCAGTTCAGGCTTAAATGCTACTAATGACAGGTAACTACAAAATGAGAGATACCAAGGACGTACAGAAGGTTAAGCCCCTCTCATCTGGTGAGTGTAATACAGAAAATAAATTTGAGGTAGAAATATTTGTAAACTGTCTGCAACTTTTAAAAAACATTAAAAATCCTACAGATTTTTTTTTCTCATTTTTTGTTTTCATTATTGAATGAGATTACCTCCCAAATTACTAACAGGCAACTGCTAAATTACGGTAGCCCTTATCTTGAATTTACAGCAGCAAACTAGAAATTCAAAGCATAGTTTCCTACTTCATACCCTAATACCTTAGAAGTAAAAACCTTAATTTTAAAATTATCGTATTCAGATATAGACATTCCACACCAAGAAAAAAAAAAAGGGTGGGTGTCAGTAGCTAAACAAAATTAATGTTAGCTTTAATCTAGAACATGTGCAGAGATATCAAGAGTTGGATTTCAATGCAGAATCAGTGAGATTCTGCTTAGCATATGCTTGTTCAAGAAAATGACTACATCCAGGGAATAATCTTGGCAAAGAGAAAACCAATTTACTTTTCCTAATCATACGGGACCACGAGTAGATACGTCTCTACAGAGAAATCCATGTTTATGCTGAATACAAATAATTTATCACTTCTGTACATAGTATCACATACCAAAAAGGCAAAGCCTCGACCTATTCCACCCTTTGATATTTTTATTGATTTTTCAACGTTTGTAGTCACTAAATTTCAAAGCACAATTTTCTCATAGATTTTACACAGACCTACAATTTTTCCCCTTTATCTTTAAAACTTAACATATTCACTAAGTTTCAAACACCTTGTCTGCACCTTCAGTATTCCATGTCTTGGCTCTCTTCTTCTAATATCTATACTTACATCCTTTTGAAACACTGTTAAACTTAGACTAAGCAATGCTTTTTTTTTCCCCCCTTCTAAGAATGCTCAGGACCACTTTCATTTGTCATACTGTTATTTTATCACAACCTTTTGGAGTCAAAAAGGATGCACCTAGAACCAAAAGAAACTGGAATCTGATTTAAAATGAAACCTCAATAAACAATCTCTCTGGAATATTTAGGATGGCTAACCCCATTTCAATAAAACACGTTCTAATTTCCATACTATTAAATTCCTATTCTTCCAGATAGTGTGCCTCAAACTGAAGAAAATATTCAACCAATTTTCAAATATAATAAACCTAGAAACACGGAACACTTAAAACACACATGCACGCGCACACACACACACACACATTCCATTCCCTAAACTGCAGGTTATACCACTGACACGAATATTTTATGAAATGTGGTTAACAGAAAAATCTGAAAAATGTGACTGGATATTAAGTGATATCTCCTTTCTTCAATTTTGTGATTAACAGGTCTTTTATTGGTAGTAAACTAGAGCAAACAATCAGAATAGTACATATGCAGTATTCAGTACACACAATAAAAGTTAAAGAAATTCAAAACCTGTATAAAACAAAACACTGGAGAAAAATCATACAGCTCAAGAGATACAGTGGTAAAGGTCCTCTCCATCCTTTGATTACAGCTTGTACTCTGTACCCAACAGAACTTACTGCACTTAGCAAAATAAGAAATACATACTTTTTAGTACTGAGTGTATTTAAGAGGATTAAACACATTTTCTAAGGTCCTTGCAATGACAATAAGTGACCCTTTAGCTGGTAAAGCAGACTTAAGGGAGGAAAGTGGGGAAAGGAAATTAACTAGTATGTTGTAACCATTTTAAATAATTTCTCATTTTCCAAACACTGCTTTCATAACAGAAGTGTTTTACACTTGCACAATATTAATTACTTTATTATACATGGAAGCCTGTGGTAGGCTGATTACACAATAAGACTGCAAACAACCAGTGGTACTTTTCTGACGTCAGAAGAGTACATAAGACTGAAACATCACCAAAAGTACATAAAAAACTCATCAGCATAAACATCAAAGTACATTAAAAATATAATCAGGAAAAAAATACAATTGCTAAAAAGTGGTTTAGAGCAGAGCCACTGTCTACCAGTGGCTTCAAATGGCAAATTAGCGTTCATAGCAAGTTTGGATGACTTTACAAGACCCCTGTACAATACTGACTAACGCACCCTTTTAAAATGTACATTACACAGGCTGCAATTTCACAAAGAGGTTCTGATGTCATTACTAAATAAGCCACTCTTACCCCTCCCATCGGCTTTGTCACCAGTTGGAATTACCACCTTATTAATATCCAGAGCTCTGAGCATGTGGGGCTTTATTACACATGGACATCTGTGTGGGTTCTGTTTTTAAAAAGGGGGAGGGTGGATGTTTATTCTACTGTTTGGATGCCGGAAGGCATAGGAAATGCATAACAAATTACCTATTGGAATGTGAATCATTCTAAAATTGAAACTGTCCAGATAGGGAGAAGACGGAACAAGGCAGGCCCAGAACTCAGAGAGAACAGGTTAAGAACAAAAATAACACAAAATACCCGCATAAGTGTGGGCGACATGCAATAACAGAGACAGAGAACAATGTTGTTAGGCCATGTATAATAAATAACACACACCCCAAATTTCAAAGAATTATGTAATTCCAACTTGGGTTCTAATACTGCAACCAACCAACCACTTGGGCTTCAACACTGTTCCCATCAACTGTTGATGGGAGTCACACAGCCTTGTTACAGCTGGGACAAGGAGAGGGTGCCTTTTTTTTTTTTTTTCCTATTATTAAAGCTATCATTCCAGGCTTTGATCAAAGATTCAAGAATATTTGTTCTACCAGGCTGGAATGAATGTGGTTTGGAAGTTCAGAGTACATTTAAAAGCTGCAACAAAATATAGGTAGCCAACATCTCAGAATTTTGGATCAGCCCAGATGGAGACAGCAATTTGAAATGTTTTCGATCCCTTACTTAAATGATGACACGTGTATCGTATCAGCCCAGATAGAGCAATTTGAAATGTTTTCGATCCCTTACTTAAGTAATGAAACGTATTATCATACTATCTGTAAATTGGATATTCCATTACAGTGATAACGTACAGAATTCCCATGCGTTATTACACTTTCCTGAGAGTAAAGCAATTAGAATAACCTTAATCCTAGCAACAAAGTTTTTTTTTGTTTTTTTTTTTTGTTTTTGTGTGTTTTTTTTTGTTTTGTATTTTTTTGCACGGTTTTTTTTTTTGTTTTTTTGTTTTTTTTTTGCATTTAAAACTTTTGGGCTATTCCCTGACGACCTATACATGTAAATTTGATTGCTAAACATTGTCACTTCGAATGTCAAACTATTTTAATCTATTGATTTTGATTAAAAATCATAATACAAACAGAGCTAAAATCACACTAACAAAATAAACTAAATATGAAAAGTTGCATTGAAAGGGCATTACATTATTCTTAATAGGATCGTGTAGAAACATTCCAATGGCAGTGTTCTCAAAATAAAACAAAATTACATTAGAAGACCTCCAGCCTGGTCACTCTTGGGACCTTACCTGTAACTCTGGCTGGTGGGGGTCTTTCCTCTGGTACTACATGGCTCACTAACATCAGACATCATGTTTGTATACCCTGAGAAATCTGACACTGAAGTCCTTGCTCTATGGTCCACTTCTCCATTAGAGTTCGTGATAAAGGTCATTGGCACCCTGCTGCCCGACTTGAACTGAGAACCGAACGCTTGTGCAAAGTTCTCAATCTGGTACGTTGTTCTGGGCTCTACGTCCTTCTGAGGATCCATCTGGCCAGCTAACTCCTGAGATGGGATCTGAAAGCTCGTTGAGGACTCTAAGTTTTTCTGTTGTTCCTTCTGGCTAGTCAGTTTCTGAGATGAGGACTGGAAGGCTGATGAAGTCTCTAGATTCTTCTGAGAATCTATCAGGTCATCCAGCTCCTGGGAAGGTGTCAACTGCTGATGTGTCGCATCCAAAGCAGACAAATAAAGACCTGGCTGAGACCCAAACAACATCCCAAAAGGAGGCTTTGGCAACGAAGATGGCAACACTGAGGTAACAGACTGGCCGAAACCACACTCCAAAGGAGATGTAGTGTATATCTGTTTTTCTGGAAATAAAGTGTGGTTGTGGAGAGGTGAAGACAGACTGACAAATTGGAAACCGTGTCCCAGAGTAAAACCTGCATTCGTGGATTTTTCGAAAGCCTGTTGGAGGTATTTGGAGTATTCTTGCAACATGCTCGCCTTGTCATTTGAAGCAGTCTGGGTGCCCGGGCTCAAATTTTCTTCTTGAACCAGTTCTGAGTGTTCTCCTGAGGCGTGCAGATCCACTCGTGGTTCTGTTATGTTGAAAGGATCCTCCTTCTGGCTCTCTGACTTGTTGGAGTACTGATCCAAAATACTTTGTAAAACCTCGTCAGGAATTCCCGACTTGTCGTGACAAGACTTAATTTCCGCATTCAGGGCCGAGGAGTCAATAAGGGACAACGGGGCTTCACTGTCCAAAACACCGACGCCCGCCGACTGAATGACGGACTGCTGGGAGACCATGTGTCCCACGTTCACAGAAAAGGCACTGTTGCTGCTGGCGGTGGGTAGGTATCTTCTTTTCTTTGAGAACTGCATGGCATCATCATAATTACTGCTTATTTGACCTTGTTTGCCACTTGTACTTTGGAGAAGACTAATGGTCTCCACACTACTGTTTGACACGATGCCAAGGGAGCCACTCGGTTTCCCAGACAGGGACTTCTGTCCAACGATGTCTGGTAACGGTGACACAAAGTTCAGGTAGTTTTTATCCATGCTCTTCCGGCTTCCTTTCTTAAAGATCAATTTTGGCACCCTCTTCTGGAGTTCCTCTATGCCAGTGCCGATGATGCCCCCACTGGAAGACACAGTAGGCATTTCTACTGAGTAACTCTGCATGTTTATGCTGTTTGACATATGGGATTCATTTGCTTTCCCAGTCTTGGGCTCCTTGTTCTCAACAGCTATGCTTCTCGACTTCGCTTTTCTCCTTGAAGAACTTGTACTTCCCTGAGACAACACAGCCAGGTTACCCACGGCGCTATGGTTGCTGGACGACCCAGGCTCTGCACTGGGCGCCCCCTTCGCCAGGGCTTCGCCGCACGTGCGCCTGTGCTTCAACAGTCTATCAGTCCTTGAGAAATACTGCTGGCAAGTGTCACATTTGTATGGCTTTTCTCCACTGTGCGTCCGCTTGTGTCTCTCCATATGGTACTTCTGGATGAACTTCATGCTGCACTGATCGCACCCGAAGGGCTTCTCCCGGCTGTGGATCTTCTCGTGCCTCTGCAGCAGGTACTTCTGGATGAAGCCCATGCTGCACTGGCTGCACTGGAAGGGCCGCTCTCCGGTGTGGATGAGGACGTGCCTCCGCAGGTGGTAGGAGCTGCGGAAAGCAGCGCTGCAGTGGTCGCAGATGTGAGGTTTCTGGCTTGGGGACAGGACGGCGCCTTCTCCGTCTCCCGCCAGCGACGGCTTGGAAGATGCGCCCGGCTTCCTCTTGGCTTTGATTCCCTGAGATTCTGGCTTTGGCCTCTTGGCCTTCTTGACGCTCGCGTCCGGCTTGGGCTCCTCGGGGCCGCGGGGGTCGTCAGTCCGGCCGAGCAGCACGTCGCGGGGGTGGGGGGCGGGCGGCGGCGGCGGGTGCAGGACGCTCAGGTCCTGGATGACGCCCGGGCCGCCCGCGTCCCCAGCGCCCAGCCCCGGCGCCCGCTCATCGGCCC